ACACACACACACACACACTGTATAGGCCACAGTTTCATACCAGGATGGAGGTTTTCAAGAGGGCAGATGGTGGCTCTGACAGGGACAGAGGGTGCTGAGACCAGAGATAAAGCCTGCTGAAGCCGCCCTCTTCCAAGGAGGTCTCTGGCCCTCCCAGAGAGCTGCAGCTCTTCATCCACCACTCCCTTCCCGTCCCCACTCCCCGTTGCTCTGCTGTAGGCCTGTGGAAGCAGTACCTCCTCTCACTGGATACCATCCACATCCCCAGCAGGATCTCCCTGCAGCCTCTGCGTGTGCAGGCCAGCACCCGGAACACTTCAGTGTGCGTGCGCGCATATGCATGTATGCATGCATGCACACACACACACACACACAAATGGCCAGTGAAGCAACTCACTCTGGAGGCCTGGAGGCCCTAGGGGTCGCCCGTCCGTGCTCTCCAGAGCAGTCTGTATAGGCCTCACTGCCCTGAGACACTCTCCCAGGAGCAGACTTGGAAGGACTCGGTCACGGACTCTACTGTGCCCTGAGACCTTTTGAACGCTCTTCCTCTGGATCCAGACAAAGTTCACAAGCTTCAAGCTACAAAATGCAACACCAGGTGCCCTCCAGAATAGAACTTTGTCTCATTTACAAGGTGTGCCTAGGTGAGAGTCGCTGGAATAGGCCCCTCCCTGCACACTCACCCCTCAATCTGATTGGACAGAACCTGGTGGAGGTCGGGAGCCATGAGAGAACTCCAGGGAACCAGTCAGAGCCAGCATGAAGTGCTGGCTACTGGAAACACCCTTAGAAGAGGACCTGAGGGTGTTAGGGGATGACTCATGGAAGACACCAACAGAAATAAGAACTTTGCATCCATTCTCCTTGGACTCCAAACAATATCTCTTCTGTCTGTGTGAGGAGTAGCTCCCAGGCAAGTTGCACTGTGCAAAAATGTGTCACCTGTCTGGCCCAGAAGGCCTGTGTGCACTCAGACAAGATGACACCAGGAAGTCACTCCCAAGGTGGGACCTCTCCTGGACATCACAGAGGGAAAGCGCCCCTTCCCTCCCACAATGTGCAGTTTTGGCTTTGATTAAATCTCAAGATTAATTTTTCCTGGTGACAGAGTGGCCAGCCTGGAAACCGTAATCCCTTCTGCTGTTCAGCGTGTTCATCACGGCGAGAGGACGCTTAATGTCGCCATTAAAATGCTGAGCTGAGCCATCAGTTCTCGGTGAGTTTACTCAATATGTTTGCTATCTGCAGCTGGCCCCGTTCCCCTAGAAGGAGATGAATCAGGGCAAGATACTGCCAGCCACAAGAAACAGCCCTGTCACGTTGACAGCAGGCTCCTGACAGGAGAGGCCTCCGGCCCAAGACCTCGAGGTGTTGGCCTAGGCCAGGCCGCTGCACAGAGCTGGAGAACTGGTGTGGGGCTTAGCTCGGAGCTACACCTGAAGCTCCTGAGAGGACTCAGGATGAACCCAGGGAGCTGGGCTGCAAGGGCACTTGGCCGTCACAGGCCACCAGGCCAGGGGTTCAGGGTAAGTGGCCCCAGAACAGCCCGAGACAAGGGTTCAACAGTACACACTTGGAAGGCAATCCCTGAAAATGCCAGGCAGAGAGAAATGAGAAAGAAAACACACGAAACAGAAGTGTATACTACTGTGGTGGGCAGCCAGAGGCCCTGGGGAACTCTGGGAGACTGTGTGGCATGAGGCGCAGCACAAGAAAAAGCAATATCCACCCATCTGTCCCTTCTGTGTGGGCAGAAGGACCAGGATGGGTATCCCAGTCAGTCATTGTCGGAGGGTCGCTCTAAGAACAGGAACAAGAGCAGGAGGTGCTGTCACATCAATGCAGGTGGATTGCTTCCACTTCCCAGGGGTCAAGCAGAGCCCAGGGACCTTGAGTGCAACTCCCTGACTTTGCATGAACTCGTGTGTCTAAGGTCTGGCGAAATTCCTGAGCGCGGAGGAACTCCGCAGGTGACAGGACCCTGTGGCAGGTCCCTGCAGGCTGCATAGTAACTCTAGGACAGGACAGCATGGCTCACTGGGATCTTCATGGACTGGAGATGGGCAGAGGATAAAATGAGGTTCTGGAGTGTTCCCTTGGTGCAGACTAACCCGCAGCCATGACCTATGGCTACACTGCAGGTTTATGGAGGAGGGAGTTGTGCAAACAGACAAATTACTGGGGTTGAGATGGGAAGATAAGCCAGTGGGGAAATGCAGCTGAGTCCCACAGGGAAGTGGGCAGAAGAGGGAGAGATGAGGCCTGGTGTGGGCAGGAGATGAGGCTGGTGTGGGCAGGAGGTGAGGCCTGGTGTGGGCAGGAGATGAGGCCTGGTGTGAGCAGGAGATGAGGCTGTCGTAGGCAGGAGATGAGGTGGGTGTGGGCAGGAGATGAGGCCTGGTGTGGCAGGAGATGAGGCCTGGTGTGGGCAGAAGAGGGAGAGATGAGGCCTGGTGTGGGCAGAAGAGGGAGAGATGAGGCTGGTGTGGGCAGGAGATGAGGCCTGGTGTGGGCAGGAGATGAGGCCTGGTGTGGGCAGGAGATGAGGCCTGGTGTGGGCAGGAGATGAGGCCTGGTGTGGCAGGAGATGAGGCCTGGTGTGGGCAGGAGGTGAGGCCTGGTGTGGGCAGGAGATGAGGCCTGGTGTGGGCA